GATAATTTAATGTTGACTCTTTTTTTTTTATTAATTGTTTAAACTTTTGTGTGTGAGTTGCATGTTATTAATAATCTTCTAACCAACAAAGTCACTGACCCACAAGCAATTTCGTGCATGAATAGGTTGAAAAGGTTAGACAAATGTGCGTAAAAAATTCGATAACTCTAGGGTTTAATGAGTCTATGTATGGTCTTCAACATGCTGTCAATCAAAACATAATGTGTCGATACATTATTCCTAAAGCAGCCACCACGAAATTTATTCATCTGTGTTTAAATATTACCTTATTTGTTATAAATCGTGTTCGATATAGCTCCTGGTACAAATTGTTTCACACTACCAGTTTTTTTTGTTTTTTTTGGGGGGGGGGGGTTGTAGCATCAAATCTTGTTGCTTCGACACATAAATAATGTGTGTGTGTAAAATTTGACAATTATGAGTCGTAATACTTTTTATTTCACAAATGTTAGGTAGCAACGGAAAAGTAGACACGTCGAAATTTGTTTGTTTGTTTGATTTTGAATTTCGCGCAAAGCTACACGAGGGCTATCTGCGCTAGCCGTCCTTAATTTAGCAGTGTAAGAGTAGAGGGAAGGCAGCTAGTCATCACCACCCACCGCCAACTCTTGGGCTACTCTTTTACCAACGAATAGTGGGAATGACCGTCACATTATAACGGCTGAAAGGGCGAGCATGTTTTGTGGGACGGGAATTCGAACCCGCGACCCGCAGATTGCGAGTCGAGCACCCTAACCACCTGGCCATGCCGGGCCTACACGTCGAAGTCCAACAATATATAAACAGAACGTATGCTTATTCTGTTAGTCATTTATCGATGTGACGTATTACATCTTCGTTCTTCCAGGTTCTCTTCTGGCCTAGAGGTTAGCGTAGAGTATTGTGTATCTGGAGGTCCAAGGTTCACAGTGCAACTGAAAGCGGTCCACACTTCCATCTATGGGTGTGCCATAAGAGTGACAATCAGTTCTCTTATTATCTTCTAAACCAGAGAAAGCCTTGTGGCGACAGATTATGCTAATTGGCTGTCTTCCTTTTGGTCAATAGCTCAAAATTAAGAATAGCAGTATCTTAACTCTAGAGGTTTCTTGATCTGATCGTTCAGTCCATGTGTGCATAAGGTGCCGTTCAGGTTAAATGTGCCAATAGTATTTTCTGAACTTTCAATAAGGTTATGAACATATAGAATTTCTTTTTAAATACTGTAGAAAACCTTGTACGCTTACCAGATCAGTAGATTGGAATTCTTCAATAGGTTCGGACGATCCCTTTTCCAAGAGAAAGAGAGAGAGTGTGAACACGCTGCACACTTTCAGCTGTGGGTGAGCTATAAGAGTGATGGTCAGTTTTGTTATGGTCTTCAAAATCAGACAAAACCTTGTGATTACGGATTATTCTAATACATACATATATGTGTTTATGTATTGTACAATAATGAATACTGATTTCTATGTGTATTATGTTTGCTACTGATTTTAGCTTACACGTGTATGTAATTTTGTGAGAAAACTATAAAAAAATTGTGTGTGTGTAAATAAATCTGATACTATGAAATACATTAATTATAAATAGGCGATCAAATCAATACTATATAACGATAATGAAATGAATACAAATTAAAACATTCACAATGAGACAAAAAAAAAACATTTGTTCCATTAGCAGTCCTTGTAATCATCATTAACTCGTAACGGAAAATGTCTGTGGTCATAGCTCCCAAAAGCGTAGAAGATATTCCATCATCAGACGTGATCCAAACACAGATGTGAAACAGTCGGCGACTATGGAGAACCGTTTAATGGTTAGGAGTTGAGTGTTTGAACCCACAACGTCTCAACTCCAACTGCCTTTCGCCGTCTGCAGCCAGTTGTGGAAAGATATAGAAATATTCTATTACCAGTCCTTGTCATCATCATTAATTCATAACGGAAAGTGTCTGTGGTCATAGCTCCCAAAAGCTTCACATTTTTCTTATTTATATATAATATATATATATATATATATAGAGAGAGAGAGAGAGATACATATGTACGTGTGTGTGTGTGTATATATATTGTACAATGACTAAAACCGAGTTTTATATGTGAAATACGTTTGTTACTGTTTTTAACTCGCATGTGCACGAAATTTCGTTCGAAAACAAACAAAAACATGTGTGTGCATATACTTATCCACATAATATATATGTAGAGAGTTTTGAATACCATTTAAACTGCCCCTGTGACTCAGGGTCAAGTCTGCGGGCTTATAATGCTGTAATTTTTATTTTTCTTATACTCGCGGTGGTCACAACACAGATAGCCATCAAGTGATTTATTTTGATATCAAAACTTTTAAATATGTGACACCAGTCACCCTGTCAATACATAAAGTATTTTTACACCTTTATCAGGTGTACAAGTTATGATCCAATTTCATCAACTATTTTTTTATCATCATTAGATTTTCGAGCATTTAAATCGATCATACTACACAATCCCTCGTGTGATACTTAAATGCCAGAAGACTGGTAAATAATAGATATGCTTGTAGTTCTTTAAACGCTGAAACTAAAAATATTCCATAACTTAACACAAGTAGTGCCCTCTATAAAACATTCAAAGGCCGGGTGTGGCCTACCTATTAGCGTTCAGATCCAAGATTCGAGCTGTCATATGCCTACGAAAATACTCCGCACTTACAGCTGTGGCGAGGGGGTATGAC